CATATTATCATCTTTGCCAACTGTCAGTTTGTATTCTTTTAAACATGCACATCTCATACCATCATTCTCAGATTTATTTTTTGCCTAACAACAGTATTTTATTTACAATATTAGGGTTATTTTGGCAGTATTAGTGCTGCCACTCATACTGAAACTGAAATTTGCCAAGTAGTAGAAATATAGGTTATTTATGTAATGAGATATAAAAATGTATTGTCTGCCAAATAAATAAATAAATACATTAACTTTCATATTCCCAGTGACAATGTCTTGTCCCTTATTTATAAGTAAAATGCTATTGATGACTTGACATTTCATTTTTACTACAATCTCCAGACAAGACTGCCAATATTGAAATAAAAAGGCAAATGGGAAATTGCAAATCACAAAGGCCAAATAACTCATTTTATGAAACAAGGTTAAGTGTTCAGTGTAAAGCCACTGTGGCTTTATTAGAGGTTTGTTTTAGAGTAAGTTTTACTCAGAAGTGTTCTGAGGGCAGAAGGACATAATACAAGTTCTATTAAGCTAAATTACACTTTTGCTTAGAGCAAGTAAAACTCCAATTTGCAGGAGAAGCTATAAAAAAAAGAGGTCAGAGGTACTTAGCCGAAGATATTGCTGTTAACTAAAATAAATTTTTCCAGATCATGAACAAAAGCCATTCTAGATAATGTAGTCCATCTCTCAGATGGCCTGGCCACACCCAGCCAATAGTCCTTTCTCTTGTGTCCCGGTATGTCCATAACCGCTGATTGATTGGTCCCTTCAGGCAGGCTGACCGAAGCAACTAAAGATCTTCAGCTTCACGGCTTAGAAAAACTGAAGTATAGGGTTGCACAGCTTTGAGCTTTAGGGTGATTGTATATGGAAGAATAGCTAGAGCTGATATCCTGATAAGTATATTCTCACTAATATATTGACTTATGTAACATATAAAATAATAATAAAAACAATAACATTAAACATGACTTTTATCTTCAGAAGTACTTTGAACATGCTTTAAGCTTTTTGTTCAAACAAATTCTTAGAAGCTTTAATCTCATTTTTTATTTTTTGATATGTGACTTGTTTTGGTTCTTCCTCTTCTTCTTCTTCCTTTTTTTTTTTTTTTTTAATATTGCAGTGCTTATTATAAATGATTTATGTGTGCTTAGTTTAAAAAAAAATCATATTCCCTCATAATCTTAAATCAAAAACAATAACTTGTCCTTACATCTCTTCTCTGTTGACATGCTCTGGGTTCAAGTGGGGGACAATAATCCTTCCCCTCAGCAACCTGTATATGTCACAGCATAGTACAGAATATGATAGGGCTGCACGATTTGGGGGAAAAAATCAAATTGTGATTTTTCTGATTAAAACTCCGATTTGTGATTTAAAATGGGATTTTTACAACAAATAAAAAAGAAAACAGTAAGGAAACTTCAAATATGCATCACAGAAGTAATAGAACTCATGACATTCCAGGAAATCCCTAATATGGACAATGGCATCCAGCTATCGCCAAGTGGTACTCACTACAGAGTCAAATGACGTCCAGCTCCTCCTCTCTGGACATCTAATGGGGTGGAGGAATAGAACTGTGGGTAGGGTTAAGGTGTGGTTGGATAATCTAGCTTTACTCAATGGGCACAAATTACATTTGCTGTTTCCCCTAGACGTCTAGCGAGGAGAGCTACACGTAAGCTACACCCATTTACTCTGCAGTGAGCAGCTTCTCGCTATTGCTGTGATTGAATAAAAAGAATTGAAAACACTTGAAGTGATGACACATGAAAACTGTAAACACACAAGGTGACAGTATGGTTTATCTGTGCTCTTCAAGTCATCTTGGGTATTTCCATAATAATAAATAGTAAATTTATAATCCAGTGCTAATTTACATAGCCTTTATTACAGTTTAGAATATATTTACTGCCTCATTCTGTGATAAGAAGCCACATCAGATCAGAAAATGAACTTGATTGGTGTTGTGGAGTAAAATCATGTTATTAAATGTTCTCTTTTGTTGGACAGCAGGTTTATAAACGCTTCTTATTAAGTTGGGGAGGATGTTTGGCGTGTGTGTTGCTTTTTTAGATGCATATTATAAGCGGTTTAAACTCGCAGCGCATGCAGAGATGAGCAGATTCAATAATCACAACAAGCCAAATCGCGATTACAATTTGATTTTGATTAATCGTTCAGCCCTAGAAGACGGATCACAATTTCCTTTTCATGCCAGCTTTAACAATACACTTTACATATCTGACACATGACACTTAACTGCAGCCTTACTTGAGTTAATCTTTTAGTTTCATGTAATTACATGTAATGTCGCACAGCCAGTAAACACTGTCACTCTGCTCCTCAGGGTCTGTCTCACCTCCATACTCATAAAGTCATCCACAGAGACATCAAGGGACAGAATGTACTGCTTACAGAGAATGCAGAGGTTAAACTCGGTGAGTGAGATATTTGCTTGTCACACTAAGAAAAACAGAGTCTCTCATAAACTTTGTTTTTGGTTCAGGGCTGTCTGATGCGGTGATATTTGATTTGCATAGCTCTGTTTTGTGTGTTTGAGTGTGTGTGTGTGTGTGCGTGTTGTCTAGCCTATATCCTGTCTGATTAGAGAACATGTTTTAACAACTAGAGCAAAGCACCGAAGCTCATTAATATAGGCCTGACACCATGACAAAAATATCTTCACACACCACAACCTGAGGGAGAGTGTGGCAGAAGTGGAAGAGTGTGTCTGCGTGTATGAGAGTGAAGGAATTAGCATAGATGAATATAAACATTTGGCCTGCACAACAGGTTTCATAAGACTGTTTGTAAGCACAAAGTGTCCTGTAATAATACAGACTCTGATTGCTTCCTCTTTTCTCGCTCTCTGTAGTGGACTTTGGGGTGAGCGCACAGCTGGATCGTACAGTCGGCAGAAGAAACACTTTTATTGGCACTCCATACTGGATGGCCCCAGAAGTCATTGCCTGTGATGAGAATCCTGACTCCACCTATGATTATAGGGTAAAATGAGATTCTAACTGTTGATGTACGCCACTGTTCAAAAGTTTGGGGTTGGTCAGATTTTTTAAAAGAAGTCCAAACTTTTCAACGGTTGTGTACACCTGTGTGTGGGTCAATAAGCATTGTCAATTTTAATATATTGACATTTAAAGTAGGCCTAATATTAATTGCCATAAAAACCTTTTATATGTGATATTTAGCTTGGTCATTATTTAGTGAAGTGATACTCAATACAACACTTTTTTTTTTAAATGCGTGCCTTCACTTGGTTTCAATGAGTACAGAAGAGGAAATGGTTCCTCTATATTACTATTTAGTGGAAACATTCTTTTGTTTTCCACTTTTAAGCTCATGATATGCATTAATGTTAATACAAAATAAACAGTGCATTGATTTATGTTCATGTTATTCTTTTTTTCTTTTTATTTGATACAAAATTGCAATTCTTCTATTGATTGCATGTGTTTGTGTGTTTATTTACTTATTTTTATATCACATCAGTTGTACGATTAGCATGTCTTTTTTTTTTTTTTACAAAAGAGTGATATCTGGTCTCTCGGAATCACCGCTATAGAGATGGCTGAAGGAGCACCTCGTAAGTACACCGTCTTTGTGTTTACTGATGCAGCCTCATATTTCTGTGTGGATCTAGGCCTTATTATGAACAAGAACATGTGCCTTATGTATATACTTTATATCAGTCCCTCGTACCAGCTGCATTACACTAACATTGAAGTCACCATTACAGCTCCTGCTTTTAAATGAATAATCAAAAAAGGGTTGAATATATGAGTTTGCCCTACCATCGTTACTGCTTTTACCATACTGTTCACATACCTTAGTCTGAAATGCAAACGGAGTGATATTTGTAAGCAGTGATAGCTATTTGAACACTGCTCAGCCAATCCAAATAGACAGCCAGAAATGAAGGCCCATTTACAGTAACTCTCAATTAAAACTATATTAATGTTGAAAGTAATGGATGATAACTTTTCAGGATGTCAACTTATTTTTTATTATCCAACAACTCCTCGCAAAGCACATACATGGCTTATGAGCAGGGGTGCACGTAAGTGGTCCGCAGGTCCGCATGCACGACCAAAATAAAAACTGCGCTGTATAAATAAGTTCTGACAGCGAATTTGCGTACCGACATGGTTGATCGCTGTTAATGCACAATTACCATTTTAGATCGACAAACTGTACTGTATAAGATTTCTATTCAAAAGCATAAATCTAGGCTACCCGCTGCCGTTTTCAAAGCACAATGCTAAACTGTGACAATTCATTCACTGACGCACCGCTCTTCAATCAGCAGCGCTAAACCCGGAACCGCATATATTGATATAAAAAAAATAAGTTAATATTAGCATTTTATTTTTAAGTTTAATATAAAATAATTGTATTTGTATTTAATACTCCTTTTTATTTTACAATATAATAGTATTATCACACTTTATTATTTTGTTTATTTAATTTAAAAAAAATAACTAAATAAAGTGCAATAATATTATCACTATTATTAATTTATTTTTATAGTTATATTTAATGGGTCACACTATGTGCAGTGTGAGGACCAAACCAAATCTCCAGGTTCTCTTATGAGAACCAGGCTGAAAAACTTATGTGCACCCCTGCTTATGAGGAAATATTTCTGTTTATTATAAGTGCACAGTTGTCGTCTGCCATTTTAAATGCTCAAGCTCTTTAAAGTCGAATTAATTCTTGATTGGCTGTCAGTGTTTTTCTCACTCACTGACTGAAAAAAAAAATTATGAAACTGATTCCAATGGTATGCAAGAAAAATTTAATAAATTACTTTAAGCATTTCATGTTTTACAAAGCAAGCAAACAAACGAACAATAATACTAAACCTCCCTCTTCCCCATTCCTTTTATGCCAGTTAAACAAAAGGCGTAATAATAAAAAATATATATATTAAAAAGTAAAAAAAAAAAAAAAAATCAGTACCTAGTAGATTACCCAAATGTAAATCATCAATTTAAACAACATTTATTTTGTGATATTTTGCACTCCTGAAAAAGGAGATCAGAGGTGGAGGTCGATCTGTGCTCCATTGTCATAACTTATGCAGCACAACACTTAGTCATATTTTCTCTCTCACACATACACAGTCACCCGCTCACACGGACAGTGTGTAGCAGCGACCCAGTCACTGTTCTACTTGCGTTCATGAATTGTAGTCACCTCTTGAGTCAGTTAGTCTGATAATTGGACACATGGGTGAAAGAGTCTTTTATCAGCGTGTTTGATTGCTCTGCTCTTTCCTTCAGCGTTGTGTGACATGCATCCCATGCGAGCTTTGTTCCTTATCCCACGGAACCCTCCTCCTAAACTGAAGTCCAAGAAATGGTGAGGACACACTGTCTCAGCTGTTATTTTAAGATCAAGCTATATTTTCCTTCTTCCTTCCCTCCCTTTTTTCCGTTGTCTATATATACACGCACTGCATACTTATGATCGCTGCAATCCATATAGCTTCTC